TTATGGAATATATGGAGAAAAAGAAAAGACAATACTTAGCTATATTTTATGCCTATCTTTTTAATTAATAAAACTATACAATAAATCTGTCACCTTTAGCCTTCGTTAATATTCATCATAAGGATATAATCACCAAATATGTGTCTTCTTCTCTGAATATGCTACTGTCAAAAAATTAACTCTGGTGTCTGTCAAACCACTAACTTTGCTATTTAAATTTGTAGTGTAGGTGTGATTGAGAAAAAATATCGTACACCGTTTGTCATATGTTATTTTATTTTATCGTCGTTGATCTTTCCCAACTATGCAAAACAGTACTGACATTATCACAAAACTTTTTAATACAAGTCTTTATTGGATGAAACATATTTATAATAGTTGTCTCTTTCTTTAATTTGCTCTTTTCTAGAAGTACTTGCTACTCTATCATCTTTATAGAAATAAATTAAATAAATAATTGAAACTCTTATTATAAATTAATGCAGAGTTAAAAATATAATTGATATGAATAATCAGAAACATTCATCGACCTGGTTCGAGCTGCAGGCGAAGCCACAGGCCTCTCTTTTTGACTTTTAACTTGTTAACAGCTCTGATCAGTATGACGATCATTATCGTTTCTAGAGCACAAAGATGAGACGCATATGAACATAAAATCATTTCAAAAGAATAATAATATGGCAATGATACTTTGAAAGATAAAAACATATGGTGTCATCTGTCAAAAATCATAAATTCAGTACAACATTATATTATTCTACAAAGAACTTTGTCTAATATGAACTTCGTTCAAACTTTTTATCATTATGATGCATCATTTTCTCTTTGTAACTTTAATAAAACTTGTGAGTGTAGCCTCATGAAGGACTAAGATGGAACTCACAAACTTCGACTGTTATAAATTTGTAATCTATTGTCAAAGAGATCAAAATAATTACTTTAAAAAAAAAAAAAATGAATGAATGGAAATCATAACAATTTTTATAGTTGATACATATGATATTATTAGACTAAGAATTAATTGATGTGGATTTTTCACCACAGTTCTTCAGAACAATGAACACCATTTTTCCAAATTTTCTCATCGATTGACATAAAAAACTTTGTATTGCACGATATGTTCATGTCCCGCATAATGACAGACTAAGACACTTACTATATATTTTGTCACTTTTCAATCAAATTGCTATAAATATTTTTCAAAATAATAAGACAATTTTATTTCTACATGAAGGTTATGTAAAATGATTCAAAGCATTAAAAGAGAAGAAAATAAAGCAGTAAAATGCGTGATTGACAATTTTATTCATGAGTAACAAAAAAGAAAATTTTGAACAACAAAATTAATTTCAGTAGTTGATAGCACTCAGAATAAAACATGCAATTAAGCTGTATTTCGAAGTCTTCTTACAAACGATAAAATATACTATGGCCTCAAGACTTTTGTTTTTTTTTAGTTAATGTATATGGCATCTCATTTTATTCTTCAAATGAAAAACGAAAAAACAGAATTTTTAACCGACAATACAGTGGCCGTTAAAACATTTTTAAACATAAATGGCAAGTATTGAAACCAGAT